TTTAAAAGTTATTATTTTACCTAAGAGTAACTGAGTCTCATAAAAAAGGAACAAAAGCATATCTGAAGGTTAAAAAACAAACCCTGCCTCCACAGCTTCACTGTCAGCAATTGCATTGAATGCTTTTCCTAGCATTGAATTTCTGATCACAAACAGATGAAGCCTTGATGAAAAAAATATTACTTTCAGGCGTCAATAGAAATTGCTGTGATTATGATGCATTGTGCTTCCAGCCAAAGCAGAAGCCAGCGTGGGAGGATTTTTTTCTTTTACATATCTCTCACATTGTGGTACTGATAAGAGCCAGATGTTGGTCCGTTGATGTTTTTTTTTCCGTAGATTGAAAAGGCTGCAAAAGCTTAGAATGGAAAAGAAAGCCAAACACAGAAAGCCAAAAAACAGACACTGAGACTTTTTAGCAGGCCACACATGCCGAGTTATCTGGTAGTCTGAAAAAGGGGAATCTGGATGAATTCAGGAGCAAATTAAACATTTATTATAAGAGTTTTATACTTGGGGTAGTTCTGTAATGTGATAATTCTTCTTTTTTTCCATTTGAGAGCCATGTTTTCTTCTTACATCTGCTGATATTTTATAGGGAGCCTCAGGAACATGTGGTCAGCTGATGTCCCGAGAGGCCTTACTGAACTCCAACAGGCTTCCTAGGCTGCAGTGTCGTGATCTCTGCCCACGTACTTAACTTATTCTTTATATAACTCTTGTAGTCGTGGGAAAAATGAAGCTGGGCTTGACACTGTAGCTTTTTTTTTACATCCTCCTGGGTTTTTCTGTCACTCTTGTTAATCGCCGCCTGGTTTAGAGTTAGAATTTGGTTTTATGACTACAGGACTTAGATTTACCCCAACAAAAACTGCTCCTTGATGGTATATCCGGCATGGAAAGGTAAGCCTCCAGTTAAACCTGGAGTGATAAACAAAAGTATACCCATGGTTCCTTCTCTCTGGTTAGTTTTCGAAGCTTGATTAGATTTAAAGATTGAGGACCATGAACCTGCTTCCAGCAATGAAATGCAGCGCATGATAAAAAATAAGGTCCTGCGGCTTCCCAGGTCACTTTGACCTTTCACATACAAGTTGTTATTCAAACTATTCTTACTTCCATTTAACACCAGAAGAAAACATTTTTTCAAAGATATATATTAATAAATGTAGACCAGTTTATTACTAAGTTAAAATTAAGGAATTTCATTAAATATGGAAATGTTTAGTTAGATTTCTATTCATTGTATTCCTGAAATCTTCCCGTATTTTGTTTCTTGAAATGAAACTTATTTATTTTATTTTTTTACTTTAAATTGTCTCATGTTGGAGCAGCAACACTTCTTTATTTTCCTTTGAAAAGTTTATTCTAAGGTGTTGGAATGAAGATCTGACCTATTATGTTGCCAAACATTGGATTCGCATGAAGTGGTATGCCTTTGATTCTGACTAAATAACAGCCATGCAGTCTACATGTGTTTAGTGAAAAAGACGAAGCACACTACTCGACTTGTTTTTATTTTCTACAACATTTTCACCAGGGAGGCAGAGTCTTCCCTCTCCCAGGACACCTCCTCCAGCCCGTCTAAGGGAAGCTGGAGGCAAAAGAGGGCTAGCCAAGAGACACGGTCCCTCCAGTGTCTCCTGGATGATCCCCTGGGCCTTCTTTCATTTGGATGTCTGGAAAACCTCCCAAAGGAGGCGTCCAGAGTGAATTCTAAACCGAGTCTCCAGTCAACACAGCCGATGATGTGGAGAAAAAGTGGCTCTGCTTGGAGCATCGCACTCTTTGAACCACTCGGACTTAGGTTGTGGCTCGCTGGCGAGCACTTGTTACCAAGGTTTCTCCTCGTAGAGCCAACCAGGCCAAGTCTGAATGAGTTACGCAAGGCCATCCCTCCAATAAACCCAAAACCTGCAGGGGGAACCAGGAGGGACAGTTGATTAGGAGAATGAGTAGCAGTCAAAGGTGGTTCACCAGACCCTAAAAGTGACAATGTCTTTCAAGCTATATTTTAGGTGATGCTGTGGAAGTGTGTGGTGCCTGGGCTTCTCAGAACCAGCTAGACTGTGAGGGAGCTGACAATCCATCGATTCAAGGCTTAGTCAAAGTTGTCTGGTTTGGATTTTTCTTTCAGCAGATGATATGGTTCTGTTGGTAACTTCAACCCATGGTCTTCAATTTGCACCCGAGAAGTCTACAATGGAGTGCTATGTTTATTTCTGGTTGGATGTTCAAGTCTATGACAGGGGTTTTTGTCAGTTTAAAATACCAGATACTGAACAGTTACCATCCATCACTGATAATCGGAGTAAAGCTTTATCTGAATCTGACAGTCTTACTCCATAGTTTGTAACCAAAAAAAGATGTTTATTGCTCTGTCTCTGAGTTTCATAGCTCAAGCAGAGAAGATATCTTCTTGTTATCAAGCTTGATCAGCTGGTTGAGCTTTCCTTGCTTTCACCTATGGTCATGTGAAATGGATCTCTGCAGGATGGTTGGACTCAGGCTATGAGATGTTTATATCAAGGAGCACTGCTGTCAAGATAGAGCTTGGAGTTTAGTCCATTGAGGCGGTTCAGGCATCTGATCAGATCACTTTCCCTGCACTTACTCTAGCTCCCTGAACAAGAGCCTTAAAGTTGTAGGGAAGTCATATTTAAACATGGTTTAAATATGGTCTGCTTTTATCAGACCATATTGTCCCGAAATTTAGAACATTTCTATTAAAAAAAAAATCCTGTCTTAAAATCTATGGGTTTTTTCGTTATTTTATACAGGCCAGTTAGTTATACGTCAGCCTCTACACCTAAATTCGGCCAATCATATATCAACGGTCATCTGTCAATCCAATTTTTTTGGTCATAGCATCTTGATTCATATGTCTAATCCAATATACGCAACGGTTCAAAAAAGAAATAAGAATCATTTACTTTACCATTGTTCACGGGGATGGACGTTCGTGTCTTCGGCAGGCGTAGAGCAAACATAACTGGCAGCGTTGCGAGGCAAGGGCTCAAACATGTAAGGCTGTGCGCCTTCTACACCAAACCAAGCCTCTGTCACCCTGGTGTCCTCTTCCACAACAAGTTCGTCCCCATATTCCTCTAATAAAGAATGTATTACGGAGGAGACTCATCCACCACCTCCGACACAAATCTCTCCTCCTCTTGCATGTTTCCGCTGTCCATAGCATTCCTTGACAGCGTCGTTGGTAAGTGCTACTTGGTCCCAATGTAATTTCCAATTGGGAACCTACTAGCACTAAGTTCCTAACTGGTTAGCAAGATGCTTCCGAGACACTGGCCACAACCAAACTTGCACTGCAAAAAAAAAGTTGGATGAACTCAAAATTTCAAGGCAACAAACTTTGATAAAATTTTAAGTTGGCCAATTAAACTTAATATCTTAAGTTTTGCTTTTGAGTTTGCTCAAAAACTCAAGAAATAAGAGTTTGCAGAACTCTAGTCCATTGGATTGAACTCCAACTTAATGATTTACGTATTACCAACTCACCAAACTGTTTTAGAGTACACAACTTGCTTGTTTTGTTGTGCTAACTATTTTTATTGCCTCAAATGTCAATAATTTATGTTTTCCAGTTTAACCAACTTAAATGACTGTTTTAGGCCAAAAAATACAAGTTGGCTTTTTTGCAGTGTGCTTGCGAACCTTTCGCCACAACAATCCTGCCCCCTTGATAATCGACCAATATCATTAACTTTATTCAATCACTTAAAGTCGGAAATGCAACCATTAGAACAGTCGTTCCCCTACGACTTTAACCCCAGGTTTGTTCCCAGGTGCCGCACAGTGGCAGCCCACTGCTCCCCAAGGGGATGGGTTAAACACTGAAATTTAATTTCTCTATGAGATTGCAAAGGATTTTTACAAACATTGGTAGATCATTTCTAAATCTTGACTTATCTAAAACCCTCTTCTAATCCAATGCTCCATCTGAACTTTGCTTAACTGACAGCAGGGCACTATACGCAGGACCAAACCTTGGTTAGGCCAATGAGAGCACACAGATGGACCAGAAGGAAATAAAATGCACGCCTACTAAACCTGTTAAGCTCAAAGTGCACTGCAGAGGTATGCAGAGGCACTGTAAGACAAACATGCGAGGAACGAGTATACGGAACATATCCATGCTTTCATGCTGCAGTTTGATAACTGGCCTTTTTTGTTGTTCTGTTTCCTCATGCCTCATGCTTCCTGCTTGTTAAACTCAACCCTACAGTCACCACTCAGACCCTGTGGCAAACAGCAACACTTCCTTTTAATGCTGATGAGAACTAATAACTCATTAGGGCGCATGCCGATGGTATCCTTAGACTAACTCTGTCCCTTTCTTGTATCATGCTTCAGAGCTGGAGATTAAAAAAAAAAGAAAAGGAAAAAAAAAAAAAAACACAAGTTGGAGTTGAAGTAATGTAGTGTTGCCTGGCAACAGCAGTGAAAACCGGTGGTGTCTGGGGGTCTGAGATTCTTTTTTAACTTTCTGTTTGTCCTCATGCACACTCTGTAATTGTACCCAGCAGAAGGTTTGGAGAGACAATGCTAAGTATTTGTTGAGGCATACTGGCATCATGCATCTCAGCAAGTAGCAGATTTCATTAATAAGCACCATCACCACATGTGGAGTCCTGCTGTATTGAGATATTCACAGGAAGTTTGGTATGTTTCCTAGCCATAATGGTGTTTAGATGAAGTGCAAATTAGGAGAGGATTGAGAACCCAATGTTGTTTATTTTTCTCCCTAAATGGATGCTTTGGAGTCTAGGGAGCTATGGGGAGGAAGAAATCACCAAAAAACGAAATGAACTTTGCTCTTTTGTTCCAACAAATTGTCATTTCTGAGAAGCCTTTGTGCTCCAATGAAATTTATTCCATGCACTCTGGCGCCATCTACTGGCGGCCTATTTTTCCGACCCACGTTGGTTAATTTGCACATTCTGTGGGAGAATAATGATGCAGCTCAATTTTGTGAGTGCCACTGAGGATCTGAAAAAAAATATTTATTTCAGAAACACAAGTTACTGCAGAAGTAGAGACAGAGATATGATTCATTCTGCTTTCAACAACAACTGTCTACATTTGAGACACAGCAAAGACAGCACTGGAGACAATAATAAGGCAACTTTTTTTGGCATTTACTTAATCATATTTAGTTACTTTAAGATTGTTTTATGTCCTACCTGGCTAACATGAAAGAATGTGTTAAAGTAACCGAATATGATTAAGTAAATGCCAAAAACGGTTGCATTATTTTTTTTTGGTGTAGTCCCAATTAAAACACAAACATCAAGTCCTTTGGTTTGGCTGCGTGGGAGTGACCAGCTGCCTCAGAGAGACACCATTCCAATCAGAAGGGCAAAGATGTTCAGGGAAAGCTTTGAACTTAGGCAAAGTTTTTCTTGAGGAAGTTTATGAGTCCATTAGTGGACGAGTCGTGGGAGTGGACCTCCGTGGTGTCCTTGAGTTCTGGCTCAATCTTCTTTGCAAGCTGCTTTCCAAGTTCGACTCTGTTAGTGGAATAATAGAGGAAATGAATTAATTAAGTTTACTGATGCTACTATGTATAGTCAAGAGGAGGTGCATTTCAGAAAATCATGAAAAGTTTAAGATTTGTTCTCATTTGTTTCAGAAAGACATTTATGCTTTAGATTGATGGATAAAAAAAATGTTAAGACTTGATTTGCTGTATTTTATATAGGAATGGCTCACAGATAATAAAATACAAAAAATCAGGCTCTTGGAAAATCATAAATGTTCTAAAATATCAATGGAAAGGAATCTTTACACTGACAGGAAATGTCTGGCTTATGAAATAAATGTTCAGCTCTGCACTCAACACTTGCTTTGGGCTCCTATTGCATCAATTGTTGCATCACTGCAGCATCGAGACATTCACCTTTTGGGATATTTTGTAATGTGGGCAGCTGTCAAGTTTTGAAAATGAAAACAGCATCTGCATTAAGCTTGATGCAAAGAATTAATATGATGTCCTTTAAACTCCTTTAGTAGATTGCTCTGTTGCTCTTTCTGACTGATTTTCTGCAGGGTTTAACTTTTCATTGGTCATAACCATCCAAATTACAAGAAATAAAGGCTTATTTCTTCTGCGTGTAATAAACATTAAAAAATACACAATTTGTACCTTCATAAGTGAGTGACAAAAACTGGAAATCATTTTTAAAACAGTGCTCTTAGAAATTTCTGTACAACCTGGAAACTGAACAGTAGTACTGTTTACTATGATACACTCATCTTTATTTGTTGCAGATGTTCTCTGCCCACTGTTAGCTTTATTTTTGCACTGAAAAGCAGGTCATACTAAATACACCATAAAACATAATAATCTGTGAGAATTAATTAATTGAATCAAAAATCCAATCACAGCATTTTTAGGAATGGGTATTACAATATAATTAATTAACTTGTAATTTTATCAAAAAATTAATTTAAAAGTCATTTTCCTTCATAAAAAAGAAAAGCTTGCCTGTTTTTTTATTGGGCAGTGCTTGATGTTCTTTCATTTTTAACCTTGCATTTCTTTGTGCTGTGTTAGTGGAAGAGCTGAGAGCAAAAAAGAGCAAAAAAAGAAGAAGATTTTCCTGATGTAATTTATAGGAATGTTTCTACAATGATAAATACTGCTTAGGCCTTATTTGACCAGAGAAATTGTTTGCAAACACATCAAGCATTAAACCTACAGAAAAGCCAATAATTTTTATTTGATTTTCTCCTTCCTGTGCCAGATGTACCTCTGCATCTTAGCAGATGGTTTTTTATATCATCTGCGTGATGCAAATACTGTAAAATGCCTAAATATTTGCTCTGGCTGTAAAATTAAGACAAACCTCCCAAAACCAGTTAGAACTGCTCCAATAAAAATGTGCAAACTATGACATCATAAATAGCAACTTCAGGAGATAATATACGTTTGCTCAAAGCTTGAGCATTAGAATGACATGCAAACTCAGGTTTCATTTAACAAAGGCGTTGTGGGTTGTTTTGATCTGGGTATATGAAGAAAGAACAGAAACTTACCCCCACTGGTCAAAGCTATTGATCTCCCACATCACACCCTGGACAAAGATCTTGTGCTCATACATGGCTGCAACGAAACACGGATTGAATATTATAACTCTTTAAGAAAGAAATGTATCATTAATTGCATGTTTTTTATGTTTTGCCTGAACAGATGACATAATATAACAGACTGACTGTTACCACGCAACTGTGTGCTCATGTCCTCACTGAACCCCTTCAGGATATTGCAGCAGCTTCGATTCATGCAGTTGCTGCTTTCAATATTCTGCTTTCTTAATGGAACAGTTGAGCGCTTTAAAAAAATGTGAAAACATTCACAACATTGTTTTCATTTCATTCCAAAATGTTCACGTTTGAACCTTTTTTCCACACAGAGCCACATTATTACACCAAAATCATTTTACATATTTCATTGCTATTTTATAAGATGTATAGAAATTGGAAGACAAAACTTTAAAAGCTTTTTGTTGTCCTTCATTTTCATTTCTGATTATGTTGCTACCAATAAAGACTTTCTAATATAATTTATCTCATTATCTATGGTTCCTCCAGAACTATTGCATGTAAAAAAAAAAACAACAACTTTTTTTTAAAACTATTTATACTTTAACATTTTAATCTTTATATTTGGATTGTTTATACTTAGCTAGGTTGCCTTAATGTTGAACTATTTTTGCATGAATACAAGAAATATTTGTAGGAGGAAAGCCTAAAATTATTAAAGACAGGAAATAACTGATCATGAAATCATAAAAATAAAATCAATACGAGAAACAAACATGAGATATGAAATGTGATCTAATAAATTATGTGACAAGTGTGCAATAACTACATGTAATCATTTACTTATTCATTTGACTACTTAGTGATATTGTGATCAGTAAATCTCACCAATAAGTGCTCCAAGTGTGAAGGGTGTCAGCTTCTTAAAGATGATGGAGTTGGTTGGTCTGTTTCCTTGGAATACCTGAGTTGATCACATAGAGATCAATTATAATAAAATCAATGCATTTGCTTTGTTTGATTAAGACAAACGCTAAAGAGTCTTCAGGGGGATGCTGATTTACATGCTCTCAGTGTGGCCGTAGTGAAGCTTGTGTTCCGTTATTTTATTTTAGAATAATCATCTCCTTTTTAAAATAAATGGCACATTTTCCTCCTATAAGTTTACCTTGTGAGGTAAAATTTTCTCCAAAGCTTCTCCACTGAGTCCGCTTGCCTCCAGCTCCTTCCTGGCCTCCTCTGTTGTTTTACCCTTCATCAAGGCTTCTGTCTGTGCAAGGAAGTTGGCCACCAATATCTAAAAACAGGTTAAAATCTATTTTAACATATTTTTAAAAATTATTACCGTACTTTGTTAAAATGTTTTTTTATAATTCAACAACAAATTGAAATTAATACACTTTCAGTAGTCAGTATTAACAGAAATGTAGGTTTATTGGGCTATTTTAAGTAATTTATGTAAGGAAATGTATGTATACAAGAAAAAACAATGTTGTATTAGCTGCAAAACAGAAACCTAGAGATGCAAATTATAGATATAATGTTATAGGATACTAAATAATCTTAGCATTTCATCTACAAATGCACTCTCTTTGTTTTAATCGGATTTGAACATCTTCTGGGACACCTTGTGATGCAGGTTGTCTCTGACTGGATGCTGGCTCTGAGCCGGGATCAAGAAGTCAGCTGGGACCATTCGTGTTCCTGCAATGAAACAAACCTGAATCAAGTAACGACAATCTTTTTCTAAAGTATGTCCCATTATGAACACGGTACTCAAACACGTTTGTCAAATTTTCAACAATAAAATATCCAGTGAACAGGATGTAGTTGGTGTATTTTTCTCCTATAATACATTAAATCATGAGGTTTACTGTAGTAGAAGTTCTCACATGTACTTTAAAAGTTGACTTTTTCACAATAAGCTCTTAATTGTATATATTCCAATGAATGGAGAACAATATGTCGATGCTAACAGCACAAGGTTGAAATGTTGTAATATTAATACTGGTGTACAGGAAGGTTACATTCAAGGCTACTGCTTTTTCGTTGTGCATTAATGAGCTAAAGGAAAGCTGCATGTAGATGTTTCGCAGATGATGCTTTCATATATGTTACTGACTAAACAACAAGTAGCTGGGGGCTTAAAAGAAAAAAAATATGGCATTGGTTTAGGAACCAATTCCTGTCTTTAGATGCCCTAAACTGCAGAGTATTCTTTAAAGCACTTTGCATTTTATTGTTGCTGTTGATAAAGGCGAAAAATAGATGAGTTCAAGTATTGTGTTAAACAAGTGTTATATCAAAACAAGGTCTGTAACATTACAGCAACATAATTAAAAAATGCAAGGATTTCACAGCATCTATTGCAGTGAAATATAGCAAATAATTACATAACTGAACTTGACACTGCTTTATTGGAAGGAGCTGTTTCTCTATGCCAAGCTGAATGAAAAAGGTAAGCAACATGCATCACTGCTTCAAAGTACTAATATTATTTTATTGTGATAATTTTTACAGAATATTTATTTAATGAAATAGTTCATATTTAGTTAGCCATTAAATGACATTGTTGACCCTTCTCACAGCATCTGCTAATGGAATAGGAAGAGGCTAAGGTGAGTCTGCTGCAGTACATGTAAGGGTTCTGCTGCATACTTAAGTAAAGTTGATTCTCCTCTTATTAGTGGTCTTTAAGCACCTGGACAATGGATTTCCTTGTTTTAGCCAAAGCTTATAAAGTTAATAGCGCTTTGGACGTCATTACTTTGCTTAAAATGGCTATTAAAAAAAAGCACCCAACAAGTTTGTATTATAAGTCTATTAGGGTTTAATATGGGAAAATGCACAGGTGAACACCTAAATAAAGGCTGCCTGCAACACATGGGTCTATCAAATACTAAAACTATCTTTGTCATGTTTGAGACGTTTGCTAATGTTTGAGTGGAGTTGAATGCCTGACACCTTTATGACATCCCTTCATCACTCTCTCTCCCCTCCTCTCTTATCTTGCCATGTAGGCCTCACTCCAATCCTCTTACTGTTACTGTGACACTGATAGCTGAATGACTGGCTGTTGAAGACCCAGTTTCTGCCCAGTTCCTCTGCATTTTACAACGTTTTTAATAACTAGAACATTTAATTTATAGAAGTTCATTTAATGAATGTTGCAAAAAAATAAATAATTTACTTGTTGATAAATATGCCATTGGGATAACATTAACTTTACTTCAGAGTTATGTGTTGAGGGTGGGGGGGTTAATTGTGCAATGACTACTGATTCCCAGTAAATTTATTTATTCATAGTGCAAAGCTGCAAGAAGGCAGTATGTTTCCTGTTGAAGACACAGAAAATAACACACTCATTTATTCTTATGTGCAACATGATGGTGGCAGAATCATGCTGTGATGAGACTACGTTTAGGAAAGCTAGTCAAGGATAAGATGAATAAAACTGGAGTGGAAAAAAAAACAGGCTGGGGGCTCCAAAGACCATCATGTGAAAAAAATGCACAGTGGCACAGTTTGTAGCACTGTGACCTTGCAGCACGAAGGTCATGGGTTTGATTCGCTGTCTGTCCACAATAACTGCATGTTCCCTATGAATGTTGGTTCTCTCTTGGTACTCTGGCTTCCTCCCACAAACCCAAATAATGACTGTTCAGTTAATAGGCATCTCTCCATCGTCCTTAGGTGTGAGTGTGCACAGTGTTACGTCTCTGTGATGCACTGTGACAGACTGGTGACCCCTCCAGGGTGTACGCAGCCTGTCTCTCATGGAATGCCTGCCCCAACGTGACCCTGATGGATGAAGCATGAGAAGATGGATGGATGGATGTCTTCATTTGTATTAATTTGACTATTTATGTTGTGAATAGTAGTGGGTAGCACTGCTGCCTTGCAGCAAAAAGGTTCTGGGTTTGATTCCTGGCCCGTGGTCTTTCTGCAAAGGAGTTTGCATGTTCTCCCTGAGCATGCGTGGGTTCTCTCTGGGTACTCCGGCTTCCTCCCACAGTCCAAAAACATGACTGTTAGGTTATTTGGCTTCTCTAGATTCTCCTTAGGTGTGAGTGTGTGCGTGAACGGTTGTTTGTCCTGTTTGTCTCTGTGTTGCCCTATGATGGACTGGCGACCTGTACAGGGTGAACCTCGCCTCTCGCCCGTAGACAGCTGGAGATAGGCACCAGCACCCCTCGTGACCCCAATTGGGACAATTGGACAACAATCAGATAATGGGTGGATGGATGGATGGATGGATGGATGGATGATGTGAATACACAATAAATTACTGTCAACTTGTACATTACTTTCACAATACATGCTGTAAAAATACAGGGCCTTATTGTAAAGCTGTATGGTAAAATGCTGAAATGTATTGTACTATCACAGTAATGTAACAGTATACGGTTATGCTTCTACAACAATGTATTGTAATACAACAGATATGAAATTATAGTAAATAGCTGCAGTATGTTTCATAGTATATTGCTTTAATCCTCACTGTGAAAGTCATACAAAACGTATCCCATATTTTTTTTTTTTTATTCACATATAATGTGCACTTGCAGACTTGAGGGCCCTGCAGTGGATAGTGAGGGGACCAAAAAGGATTATCTGTGTCCCCACTCTCTGTCAAGGATTAGTTTCAGAGTTGCATTTTATACAAAATTATTTATTTCATATGTTTCCTTTTTTGTCTTTTAATGTTGTTAATTTTTTTTTCACAGAAAAAAATCCAAAGGAATTAAATTGATTTATTTCTTCCCATGCCTGGTTTGTTCCAAAACAGCTCCTGGTGCTGCTAGAATGAAAACTGCCCACATATTGAATTAAACTGTATGACAGTAGTCTTTGTCTTTTTTTTGTTTTTGTTTTTACCTTGATGGATGAGCTGGTAGAAGGCATGCTGTCCATTGGTTCCTGGCTCCCCCCACACTATGGGCCCAGTATGGTAGTTCACTCGAGCTCCATGGTTGGTGATATACTTTCCATTCGATTCCATGTCTCCCTAAATTATAGAAAACTTTTATAATCATTGCATATTTTAAGAGATCCTTGATTATAGCAGGATTTTAATTATACTATTTTCCTTCCTTCTATAATGTCTTAAAATCTGATTATGGTTTCTAGATTTTGTTTAGATTTTGGGGGGGTTAGCTTTGGTGGTAATCATTTAGATTTGGTCTTAAGTTTTATGTGATTATATGTCTTTGTTGTTGCCATATTTCCTTTACCTTTTCATTCATAATCAACAATATTCCATTAATCCCTTTCAGTGTGTATACAGCAGCCATTTTTTCTTCAGGTTCATAATGTCACTCTTAATGTCCTATTTGATGTATTCTACCAAGCCTTCTAGGTGCACCAATAAATCTACCAGATGTCAAAATAAGTCTTTCGGCTTTGATTGAAAATCAGCAATTTAACCATAATAAATTCATATTTAGATTTTTCATTTTGTTTAATGTATGAAATCATAAAGAATCCCTCCATTTGCGTTCCTCAAAAATATCAAACAATAACATCTGATTAGATTATTTAGATTTTTCTCATCAAAAGAAAAGAAGTTTAGGGAGACAGCCTTTGTACTTGTTTCGTATTTTATCCAGAACTGCTAAATCTATCAAATAATTTTCTGGTTTGATTTATAATTCTTGGTATTCTGTCACAAAAAAAGTATTGATTCCTACTTCTTTTGCATTATTCTTTAATGTTAATACAGAGGTTTAGGCTAATCAGACATCTTTTTTTCTTATGACTATCATCCTTAATACTGTAGGTAGAATATCCTGTTAGCGCCGCCTTATTATCCTTTATAAAAAGAACAAAACAAAAAAAATGAAACAACCTTGCTAATTAGAAATGAGGTGTCAACATTAAGGGACAAGTATTTGTTATTTTCATTGATTTGGTGTCTAAATTTTGCAAACATTTTTCTTTCTATCTGCTCTGAAGTCTACAGATGGAAATTTTCCTGTGCCTATATCTGGTGCAGTGCATTTCCTCTCTTAATATTTCAGTATATAGGCCTGAAATAAGCTAAATGAGAAAAAAAATATTGAAAATCTATCCTTGATGCATCCAAAAGAACAGACCTGTTGGAAGTAGGCAGTAAAACGGTGCATATACTGGTCGTAGGGCAGCATAGTCTGTGTCTCAGCATGGAAGAAGTTAATGTACCAGATGCCCAGTAGCGCCAGCAGGACGGGGGCATTTTTTTCCAGGGGAGCAGATCTGAAATGTTTGTCCTGCAGCAGAGAAAAGGAAAAGCTATGTTTGCTTTGTTGTTTGGTAAAAAATGCCTCTATTTATTATATATTCAAGAGGTGATGGGCTCATTGAGGTGCTCCTACCATCCAGTGGGCTCCTGACAAAAGTTTCTCAAAGTTATCAAAGCCTGATGGGAAAATGTAACAGAGATGTTGTAGAATTAGAAAAACTCCAGCATATCAGCAGAATCCAGCATGAGCAGAATGTTAAGTCTGTCTGGCAGCCTGACAGTGTTGGTTAACACAGCACTGCAGCTGAGCTGAATTATTGATGCTAGTATCGAACAAATCCCTTTAAACATCTTTGCAGACATTTGTGCATTCAGCAGAATGAACACAAACACTGTAATAACTGTGCATCAGCCTGCCGTTGTCACAGCTCAGTAATGAGCATTGTAATTATCCATTACGTACCAATATGCAAAGCAATGGCCATTCCAATTGCTGACCACAAGGAGAAACGACCTCCAACCCACTACAAGAAAAAAGAGACATGAATAAATTTGCTTTTAAACTTATTTTTACATCTCAATATTCTAGAATATCATATAAACTTAATTTATTTCAATTTATAAATCCCACATAGACGTTTTTTAAAACAGAGACATATTTTTAAAATGTCTTTTATAATTTTGATGGTTGTTTCTTACAGCTAACAGAAAACCAAATCTAACTCCCCATTGAAGAATTAGAGAATGATGTCCATTCAAACCAGAGGTGGTGTTATTGTGGCCTACACAATCAGCTGATGTGACAGATAAAGATTGTTAAACACAGTAAAAGCTGGCAGATCTTCAAGAATGGGAAAGTTGAGTGGAGGGAAAAAGTGTGAGGTGAAACAGGGAAGACCGAAAGTCTGGAGGGAGATTCGGGTTTGCTCAGTGACCAAAAGTTTTCTTTTCAGATGTGAAAGAAATGTAATGGAGGAAAGGTAGTGATTTGGGGAGTTTACTGGGATTTTATCAAATCACATTACCACACTTTCAAAAAGTACCATTACTTGGTTTAGGTATTCAGTTAGTTGTAACCTCAGTGGGTGTTGAAGCAATGGCTCCAGCTAAAGTCCACGCCTTTTGAATGGACTGGGCTTTATAACCCTCTCAAAGTTAACGTTTTCTTTGTTTCTTCTGCATCAATGATTTCTTTCCTTCTACTCAACATTTCATTTATATGCTCTCACAAAGGAGGTCTGGCCAGCTTTTCAAACAATACTCTTTTTTTTCAGTTTAGCAATGCTGTTTTATTTATTTTCCATTGTCTGATGCAATATTAGCACTCTATAAAAAGCATCAATCATTTTAGCATGAAATCACTTGAAATAATATTAAAAATAATTTTATCCATATGAGTTTTTTCGCTTAATTCCTGAACTAAATAGATATTTTTGCCCTTAGGGGTTAAAAATATTGCATGCCTCCACGTATTCTCTCTTCTAAAGGCCTCATTGGAGCAGCTTCCTTTTAATATACCAACAACGTAGACGAAAGCAACTCTATGACCTTTAGCATAACCTCTGCAAGATGAAAGGTCACTACCAATAATAACTGAACCTGAAGAGAGGGGCTTCTGATTACCCAGCAGCTGCTCTCCTGAGCCTCTGTCCCACCTACTTCACAGGTCAAAAGTCTAGTGTATTTATAGCAGCTACTCAAATCCCCCCAATTCCAGCGTTGGGATGAGAAGGGGAGCAGCTACACACGGTGAAGGCGTTAAAGAGCACTCACATCCCAGAATTCAAACATGTTTTCCGTGTCGATGCCGAAGTCTTTTACTTTGGGCTGCAGGGAGGATAGGAGATAAACCCGACAGTTGAGGTGCAGATTTAATATGCTGGAGATTGATGTTAATAAATATATATTCAACTCACAGCATTTGTGGAGAGAGCCACGAAGTGTTTGGCAACAGCAGCTTTCTGTTGGTGCAAAGTAAATAATGAGGGAGGATATCAGTTATTCTGCATAAAAAAGCAACTTTTACCCATCTATCCACTCACATCTTTGGCATGTTCCAGGAACCAGGCTTTGGCTGACTCAGCATTGGTGATTGTTTCTTGAGTAGTGAACGTCTGCAAAACAATAAGGTCTTCTTAAAATGCAAAGTCATATCTTGAGTTTCCTGATGTTACGCTCATTGAAGGTTTTTTGCTCTCTAGGTACCTTGGATGCGATGATAAAGAGAGTCGTCTCAGCGTTGAGCTTAGCCAGGGTTTTGGCGATGTGAGTTCCGTCAATATTGGACACAAACCAAACGTGGGGACCACCCTTTGAGTAAGGCTTCAAGGCCTCTGTCACCATCAGAGGGCCCTATGGTTAAAGCCAGAGTGCAAAACATGTACTCAACTTCATACCAAACGCAAAATATATGAAATTTTCATATTCTTTAATATAATAAAGCAAAACAAATTGAAACAATAGCATAAGGGAAATGAAAACAGATGCATGGTGCAAAGCTGCAAGAAGGTAGTATGTTTCCTGTTGGAGACAGAAACTAACACACTAACTCATTCCTATGTGAAACATGGTGGTGGCAGCATCATGCTGTGATGAGGATACCTTTTAAAAAGGGTAGGAAAGCTAGACAGGGATAGGATAAGATAAGATAAGAACAAAAAGTAAAAAAACTGCAGAATTTGTTTAACCCTTATCACTCTTCACCACTATGCACTATATTAGTCGATCACATACAATTCCCGTATGCAACATTACAGTTGTTTTATGAGTTGGATAATCCAGGGAAGACTTATTATGCTTTTGAGAAAACTAGCAATAGTTCACAAAGTAATCGGAAAAGAAAGTATCAATAATCTATATTCTCCATAAAATATTAACGTTTAATTAACTATTTTGGATTTTTATCTCAAAATTAAAGTGCTAACACATTAATTTCATTAGTAGCAAGATTGTTTAAGACATTAAGAACTAAATAAATAGATAAATAAATGAACTAACTCTTTCTGAAGGCTCATGCCGCTCCATATGAGTGGTGCCCTTGGTAATGAGCCGTATTACACCAATTAAAAAACACCACTGTTCTCAGACACTATTCTGATTAAGTTGTTCAACTTACGAGGTCTGATCCTCCGATTCCGATGTTTACAACATCTGTAATGGCCTTTCCTGTGTATCCTTTCCACTCTCCGCTGCGAACCCTCTGCAACAAACAAACCCACTTAACACAAGCACCACTCATGAACTAAACTTTTAAAAATTCCTGTCCGACGACTGGTTGCACTCACGTGACAAAAGCCTTTCATCTTTTCCAGAACCTTATTAACATCCGGCATCACATCTTTGCCGTCAACCATGATTGGAGTGTTGGAACGGTTTCTCAAAGCAACATGGAGCACAGCGCGCCCCTTTTAAATGCAAAACACCGGCAGATAAAGATCAACATACAAATGATTATCATCTGTCATTGTAGAAGAGGATATAAAGATTGTTTGGCTTCAATGTGCACCTCAGTGAAGTTGATTTTCTCTCCAGTAAACATCCTCTCTCTGGCAGCTTCAATCCCTCTAGACTTGCCCTAAAGAAAATAATAAAAAGGTAAATAATGTTAAAATTGTAGAAACAAGCAACTGTTGATCCAGGATCAAGCCAGTGCAAAATGAATGTTTGCTTCTGGCTTTAAAAGTCATTCTAATGATAAGATGATAAGAGCTTGAATTACCAGATCAATCAACATTTTCATGACTTCCTCTGTGATTAGGTTCTTTGAGTAATCCAGAAGAATATCTCCATCATCTGTGGTAAGTTTGAGGCTGCAAGAAAGAAAGAGACAATGACCAGAACGACAAAAACGACACTCATACAGCTTCTCCATATTTGCTGGTAGAATCTGACCATTTTAAGGTGACAGACATACCTGAACTTATTGAATCTCTCTTTATCAGCATCAAACATGTGCCTCATATTAAGGTTCAGGGCATGGGCGGTGTACCAGTCCTGCAGCTTTTGAAAGTTGGGGTCCTGAGTGAGTCCCATGCTGTCCAGAGGAGAGAGGCTTGCCGTGCTCTGCTGTGCTCAACTGTCCCGGCTGAGTGGGAGCGAGCAGGTCTCGGACAAAACTTTATGAAGGTCCTACAGTCTAGATCCAAGCTGGCCCCTCCCACTCCGAGACCTGACACACCAGCTGCTGCAGTGTTTGACACTTCCACACGAAGGTTAAAGGTCAGCAGCAGTCTGACAATGCAGTGGCTAAAGTACATATGCTTATTTCTTTTTTTAGACATACAAATGTTATGCTCTTTGGTGGGTGTGTTGCAGAGCCGAAATGTCTCTTTGTCATGAATAAGATGCTGTAAATATAATGAATCAAACACATAAACCTTTTATATTCGTTTTTTGTAGGTGGATAATGCTAACCTGTTAGTGTGACTGTGATCATTTTAAAGCTTTAAAGAAAAAAATAAAATATATATTCTTACTTTTCAAATTGGTTTTATATGTCCATTAAAGTTTACAGAATGTGACTGTATCAAAATCTCATTTAAAAGTATATATTTTTTGTGATATTGCTCAGTATAATTTAAAAAGCATGTTTTAAATGCCTTCTTAGCCTTTTTTTCTGTGTATCTCTTCAAACATCTTTCTCACCTTTGTCACATTCTGTTCTTTGCACTCCTCATGTCCCCCCTCTAAAAAGGATTAACATGTACTCTAAAAAAAATCATAACTTATGTAGTTGTTTATTCAAAATGAAACTATGCATATTTATTAACATGAGTACAAGATGAGATGTACAAATACCACATTTAGCTGTTAAGGCTATGTTAATCATCAGTCCCATATCAGGTGAAATAGAAAAATATGACCAAAAAAAAGCAAAAAACATTAAAAAAAAACTATTTAAAATAGGTAATCACAAGAAAACTTAACACAGTGTTAATAAAATCAGTCATGCACCTAACAAAGAAATATATATTTATCTTCAAAAAAACATGTAAACGATATACGATAAACTGATTATTCCACTAAATTAATTCATGTTTTGCCTACTTTTTACTGATTCAGAGAAAGTTTTTCAGTTGCAGGATGTTACTGATTTCACTGGAGACGGTGTTCAAGGTGTTTGAGGCTATCACACAAAGTGAAAACTGGCCCAAACAGCTTTTTCCTCATAAAACGCCACATTCTTTCTGCTCTTGGCTCATGTGCCTAAACTGTTTTTCAATTGGATCTATTCTGACAAATATCATGAAATTATATCGTCACAGCTAAGAAAATATATCTTTTTTTGTTGTTGTTGTTGCTTTTTACTTAGATTTTTTTGAGTTTTTTTTTTTTTTTTGCACAATCTCTTTGCATTTGTTAAAATTACTTTATTTAACTTTTTTTCCCCAACTGGTCAAACAGTAGTAAATGTGATAAAGTTGTGGCCTCTTTGCAACTTCAGTAGTTAAATTATTTCAAATTTATTTAACATTTGCCAAATTGAATTACATTTTCTTGATAAGTTCTCTGTTATGATTTAAATCTAAGTTTGTAATTCATATCAGTACCTAAATATTTACACTCTTCGACCACAGGGTTCGCCCTGCCGCAGTGACAGCCAAATCTGGCTCTTTGTTTTGTGCTTTGGAAAATACAGAAAATATGTTTTATCCAGATGTTAATGTCAACATGAAAATGTTCAACCAGTTTAGATGAGTTTAGTTCCAGCGTAGTTCTTTAGCAGCTTTAGGCAGTTTCTGAATGTTCATGTCTGATATTGTATTACTACTCACCAATACGTTGCCAGTGATGAACTCACTGACTACAAACCTGTACAAGGATCTGGCATTAAAACAGGACAGCCAAAGGCTAAGATCCTGTTTTCTTTATTAAACAGTTTCATGTTAAAAAAAAAATAATTAAAATCTTACCACAGAAACTAAGGCATTTTCCAATAATGGCAATATTTTAGGTAAACCATAGTCATTATTCCATGATGTCCAGTTTCATTCAAGATTAAATTCCCTTATTATTCCCTATTTAGTTTCAAAATTTCAAAATTGCTAACTTATGATAAAGAAATAATTTTTACCTCTTAGGCTGTGATATTTAAGCTAGAGGGCAGCATTTCACCCATGGGTTTGACGTTTTTCAAGAACTTGCGTCGGTTTGCCAGTAGGTGGCAGTGTGAAGGTTAATCAACATTTACCAGAATATAACTTCAATATAATAGTCTTCCATATTGACCACTTTAGGAAACTATTTGTATCGCAATTGATTTAGATGTCTGTTGTTTCATTATTTTGGTATCAAAAATTACCTTCAAATTTAGCTTTTTTTATGTTTGTTTTATTTCATGTTTTAGGATTTATTCATGCCTGCCATTAGTCACAGTAGATATCAAAGAAGAACAATATGCATTATATATGAACAGCACTTTGAACAGAGTCATGATTACTTTAGATTTTCAGCGTTGGCCTATTGATGAAGAGTTATAAACTTCAGAAATTCACTTGTGACTCTAAGTGACTCTATAAGTTTCTGTAAACAGATTCCCAGATGATATGAAAGGAACAAACGTTTTCCACCAACACTCAACAGTGCAAATTTGCTGCAATCTATGCAATACCAACTATTTTTTGTTGTTGAAAGAATTTTTTTTTTTAATCAATTGTTTCTCATTGATGTATTACCAGATATATCATCTAATGGCTGTGGAATGGATAAAAGATGATTCCAAGATGCTGGTTTTTGGTGTATTTCTTGAACAACAAGGTTTCTAATATTTGTAGTACATCCATACCATCCTTGTCAGTGTCCATGGCAACAAGAAAATTTGGATCCATACCCAGCCATATTTGTCTTGAACTGTTCAGTCCTCACTTTGCCTATATATATCTATATCTATATCTATATCTATATCTATATCTATATC